TATATATATATATATATATATATATATATATATATATATATATATATTTCTATTATATATGTGTGTGTACAGATTGTTTCAGCAATGTCTTTCTGATCTTAGTGTGCTTTTGAGGGACACACTGCAAATCAAAATGGTGGTCTAAGCAGGAAAGTCAATAGAAAATACCACCTAATGGGCTGTATCCTAGAAAAGGCCTGGGTCTCACACAGGGACTGGCGAATGGCTTCTCATTTGTTTTTTTGAGTTAGCACTTTAAAGGAAACATAGTTTACTTAATCCTTTGATTGTGAACCGTTTTGCTTAAGCGGACAACAGCATCTGGAGTGGGATTTTCCAAGGTCACGTCTTTCAGGGTGGGTTCAGGAATAAAGTCATGCGTGAAGCTCTGAGCTAAATATCCAGCACAGAGGACATGCCCAGCCAATTATGGCTCTGTGACATTGGTCAGAACTTAATCTTATAGTATGCTTTACCCTGTCCTGGAAAAATGAAATCCAGCAGGACACACCCAGATCCCCCGTGATCTGTTCCGCATCCAAGCTTTGAAAACTAGCTGGTATGCCTCTTGGTCCCAGTTCTCAGGGGCCTCTCATCACTTGTACCCAGGAGTTCAGGGCTAGCTTGTGCAATACAGCAAGATGGAAGGAAGGAGAGGGGAAGGGAAGAAGGAGTGGTGAGAGGGACGGAGGCTGGGGACAGAACTCACTGGTGAAGCATGAAAGGATAATTAGGAAGAAGACCAGTGGAAGGTGGGGGAGGGGACAGGGAGACAAGGCCAGGTCACAGAAGAGGTGGGAATGAAAAAAGCACATGATAGACCTGCTGGGAAATGTCATGAGGAAACTCATGATTTTGTACAATGAACGTCTAATGACAATAAAAAAAAAAAAAAAAAAAAAAAAAAAAAAACTGTTAAAGGCAAAAATCACACAGAGAGAAAAACTAAAAATAAGTAGGTCGGTTGCTTGCCTGTAAAGAACACGGCTCCCTTGCTAGTGTGCCAGCAGGAGAGCAAGGACCCGAATGTCTGCGGAGCTCCCTGCACGTGAGGATGCTGTATGAGTTAACTACTCGAGGTGCCAAGGTGCCATGCTTAGCTTGCCATCCTTGTTCCTCCTCCGTGTCACCACTTGTGTGATGTGGGGGCCAGAGGGTTTCAACGCTGGAGGTTCCCGGCGGTCAGTTGGCTTGGTGAGCCACTGGCCATAGCCATAAAACCACTACTGAGGGCTGAACAGGCAGCTGCGTTCTGGAGTACTTGCTTAGCGGTATACAAAGCCCTAAAGTTCAATGCCTATGTCACAGAAAGGAAGGAGGGAGGGAGGGAGGGAAAGAGGGAGGGAGAAGAAAAGGAGGGAGGGGTGGAGGAAAGGAAGAGAGGAGAAGAAAAGGGTGTGGCGTTCATTGGTGGGTGTTGGGGGTTATCGCCACTGAATTTGGGGGTGGAATATAGAAACCCGCAGCATTTGCTTGAGACCCTTTATCTTCTTCATGCACTGTAGTGTACGGGGAAAGGCTAAGTTCAGAGTCCTACAATGAGTCCATGCTTGGGGTGGGGGTGGGGCAACCCTGAGATGTAGTTTGGCCCAGCCTTGAGGCAGGCAAGGCGTGTTGTGTCGGTAGGACCAGCTCCTTTCTGCAAGCCTATAGCAATACCTGCTTGCATCTCAGCAAGCAGGAGGGAGAGCCCGATGCCGGCTGGGACCCCAGCTTGGCTACAACCCGTGGAGCCCAGGCCAACTGACAGACAGCTCCGTGCTGACAGCCGGGCCCTGGGTCCAGAGGGTTCCACAACCTCGTTAGGGCTTCTTAATATCCAACCAAAGCCCAGCCTTGGGAGCCTGGGAGAGTCAAGCGGCTCTCCCGTCTCCAACTCCAGAACCCCGTGGCCTCCCCCTGCACCGAGGTGGCCCTAAACCAGCATTTCTCAACCTGTGGGCCAAAGCACCATGAAACACTTATTTGCAGTGGTGCGACAATGGGAGAACACATATTTCCGATGGTACAGCCCGCTGGAAAACACGTGTTTTCTCAATCCCACAGGTTGAGAACTGCTTAGACAAAGGAAGAGGGATCAAGAGACCTGGTGAGGTTACAGCACGGGGAAGGGTACCCCACTTCCGGGAGGACAGAGCCCAGGCCCCTACTTCACTGCTCTGACCACAGTATCCATCTGTGTTCCTGAGTTAGGGTTCGAACTGGCACCACCGGTACCCGTGTGTACACCCCCCACCCCAACGCCTCCCACCACAGCAACTGATCAGCATCCAGCTGAAGCAGGCACAAGGAGGTCACGAAGGGATCAGAACTTACTTTCTACCTTCAACGTGAGAAGCCTGGAGCCAGGGGCTGGGATAAAAATTAGTCTGGGACGGAACTAGAACACAGCTCGGAAGTGGAGAGCCTGGGTGGCACGCGTGGAGCCTTGGGATTAGTCCCCAACCCCGAGAAAACGGTTTGGAATAGAATCCCGTCAGGCCAACACAGAGACAACCAAACTGCCCCAAGGAGACAGCTGCCGTCAACAGATAGAGGCACCGCCCCAGACCAGTGCTATAGGTAAAAGTTAGGGCACTAAGTTTCTCTTAGGGGTCATTCAAGGATGGCTGCCCGGGGCGGACTAACAGTTTCTGACCGTGGCGTTGGCGTTCACTGGCAGATGCCCACCTGCCCACATTATGTGTCGCCATGATGTGCAGCACCTCAGTGGTCTTTATCCGCACCAGGTTGTTGCCGTCCCTCAGCAAGGCCTTCAGGCTCTTCAGACAGCCTGTGGGGACAGGAGGCCATTTGAACATTTGCCCATACAAAAAACTTGGCTGCAAGACAGCACATGACCTAATGTTTGAGAACAGGAAAGCACCAAAGGTCTGTGCTTTGGGTTTGGGGAAACCAAGTCAGGGGCACAGCATTTGTTAACTGAAGGGCTTCACACCCATGAACCATCTCATTTAACCTTCTGCATAACTGTGTGTGTGTGTGTGTGTGTGTGTGTGTGTGTGTGTGTGTGTGTTTGAAACAGGGTCTCATGATGTACTCTGGCTGTCCTGGAACTCACTGTATAGACTGGGATGCTGGCCTCAAACTCACAGAAATCCGCCTGCCCCTGCCTCCTGAGTATTGGAATTAAGGGCGTGTGCCATCATGCCCTGACTTGTGTGCACCAATTGCCTCCTTACCGCTATCCCCAGAGCTGAGGGCCAAGCACTCTACCACTCAGCTAAATCCCCAACCCCTCGTTTTTCCTGTTAGTTGCCCCTCATGTAGTCTGTCCTGGGGCTAAGAGAAATTGCCCTTGACATTTCAGGAGAGACGTGAGAATGGAAACCTGCTTATGCATGCTGTCCTTGCAGAAGACTCTGAGATCAGTTCTCAGCACCCACATCAGGCAGCTCACAACCACCCATAACTTCCTCTCTCGTGATCAGGCGCCCCCTACTGACCTCCACAGGCACTTGCATTCACAAGCACATACCCACCCAGAGACCTATACACATAATGAAAACAACAAAACAAACAACAACAATAAAAGGACACATTCTACAAACTAGTCACCATGACCTTGAATTGGCTAGATTCAAGGATTCCCGATTTAGCATATAAAGATCCAGCTCAAATTTTTAAAGATTTACTTATATTCAAAATGATGTACAGGTGTGTGTGTGCGTGTGTGTGTGGGTGTGTGTATGTAAATAAGTTTGTGCGTATGAATGCAAGTGTACACTGAGGACAGAAGTCTCGGATTCCCTGGAGCTGGTGTTGCAGACAGTTGTGAGCTGTCTGACGTGGGTGCTCGGATTTGAACTTGGGTCCTCTGGAAAAGTAGCAAGCTCTCTTAACCACCAAACCATCTCTCCAGCCCCTCCTATTTTTACTGGTTACACGAACTTAGACTCACACTCCTCTCCCAAACAAGGATTTTCACACCTGTAGATTGAAAATGTTCCCTCTTTGGAGGGTAGCACTGAACTTGGGGGTCCTGGTGGCCTGAAATCCAGTCTAGTAAGTAGCAGCTCTTACTACTAATGTCATCCAGAGCCTGAGCCACATCAGGACCGCCCCACCCCCACCCTCACCCCCAGTCACGATCACCTGGGGTGTGACACTCTCACCTATACTGATGGCCTCATAGACATACTCGGGATCATGCATGAGGTCACACAGAGCCACAAGGGCTTTCTGCCTGGTCAGGAGCTCATTTGATTGCAGCTCCTCATTGAGCTTGGGCAAGGCCCGACAGCCACAAGCAATGGCGGCCTTGGTGGGGTCGAGGTCAGGAGGCATGTACATGGAGATCCGGGTGTGTGCCATCTTTTCACACCTGCTAGGGGGCTTTGGAGCTCTGTAGAAACCACTAATAAAAGAGCAACAACAACAAAAAAACAAAACAAAACAAAACAAAGAACTGTCATTATTACCATTCTCATGTAGAAGCTAGCCAATCTCAGCCTCCACATTGTCTGTGAAGACAAACAGGATGGACACACTCATCTTGATTTACTGATGAGCAAACAGAGGCTGACGAGATTTCTCAAGGTTACAGCACAGATAAGTTTCCCAAACTTCAAATCTCAGTCCTTAAAGCCAGAAGAAACCGCTTCGGATATTTGTACATGGGTTCCTTGGTCCTGTACACCAAAAGAAAAAAAAAAGACAAAAAGAAAAGAAATAGGCCAACCAAGATGGCTTTTCCTTTGATGTCCATGCTTAGCTGGTGACAGCAATGATGGGTGTCTAACCAGCATCTAACGCAACCACTCAGTAAAGAGAAATCCACATTTATAAGTAAGTTAACAGATTTGGGCTAGGGAGTTGGTAAAGCTAGAAGCTATTCAGAGCTCTCAGCCAGACAGTAGTGGTGTGTGGCTTTAATCCCAGCCCTTGGGAGGAAAGGCAGGAGGATCTCTGTGAGTTCAAGGCCAGCCTGGTCTACAGAGCAAGTTCCAGGACAGCCAAGGCCACACAGAGAAACCCTGTCTCAAAACAAAACAAAACAAAACAAAAGCAACAAAAAGAACATCAAATAGAGGTCTTGCTCCTTCATGCCAGGGCCACATGTTCACAAGCTTGGGACACGTTGGCAAGAAGAGATTAAGGTTAAAGAATGATGTTACTATCCCACACACATACACTCTTTAAACAACTACAGGCAAGATGACTTGTTGGTTCAGGATAGGATATAGTGCCGGGCCAGGGGTTATCCCTGACACATCATTCCTTCCATGTGTACATGTGCATTTCTGCAGCTGAAAACTAAGGTAATGAAAGTTCTTCCTTCCTGTCCTTCAGCACTGTGGTGTAACTGAGAGCCATGAGCCTGGCTAGCCAGAACTTGAAATACACTGGTTGTGGTTATTAGCTTGGTGACTATTGCATTTGGTGGCAGGAGCAGGCAGGACTCAATTCTGAAGTTTGAAGAAAAAAAGCAGACTCTGATGCCAGCCACCAACCAATAAGGGGAGAGAGGGGGCCAAGCTGGGAAGATGAAAAGCCATCCCTGAAATGGGCGGGGGGAGAGACTTCGGGAGACAGTCTCTGGGACACAGGCTGCCCTCCTGTAAAGGGCACACACTACAGGAATCCTGTAAAAAGGTGAGACCCCGGGTGTGGGGGCATGGGCCCCGGGTGAACGGAACTGGGTGGGTCAGGAAGCCCCGAAAGCCCTGTGCCGGGCACCTACCCCCTACAACTGCCTCACTTGCCTTAGTGCGTGTAGTCTCCTGGTGTCTGCCAGCCAGAGCGCTCATTGCCAGGCGACCTGGTTGCTAGGAGACTGCCAGCGTCTGCAGCTTCCTGGTCAATTCCCTGGGGAGCCAAGGCGCAGGCGCAGAAAAGGGCTGCACCCAGAGGAGAACGGAGAACAGCGATATTTTACAATGTTACTACAGAGAACAAAGACAACTCGCCCTTCACGGTACAGATGGGAATGGAAATTATTTATTTACGTCCTTCCTTTTTCTGTGCATTTTCCACGCTTCGGGTCATCAGAGATAAGAAGGTAACTTCATGCCTTTTAAGGCTGAGAATCTCAAGAGAACTGCCCCCCAGTCACATAGACCCGACCCCAGAAGTGCCTAATCAGGGCCCAGCGCACCGTGGCTGGCTGGAGTGGCTATTTTCTAAGCCCCCAATACCTCCTTTTGCTCCCTGCACACACACACACACACACACACACACACACACACACACACACACACACTAAGACTGTGCACAAACTCCCTCGGAGAATGTAACAAGACCCTGTCTGGCATCCACCATCGACACAACTCAGTAAGACCTAGCATAGCAAGACCTTGCCTGTATCTGTTCTGTTTATTGCCTCTCCGTGCCAGGCATAGGCCAAGAAGCTTCCAGTAAGTGCAGAAAGAGCAGCTGACGCACTTGAATTAAGAGTTAGCAATTAGGAGCATTTCTCTAGGCTTCACTTATCATCAGATGCTTTAGTTACCCTTTCCTCTCCTCCATGTGACAAAATGCAACTGGACCAAGAAAGCTTTAGTGTGGTTTAGGATCTCAGGAGGTCCATCCCGTGGGTACTTGGCAAAAGATTAAGACAGTGGGAAAATATTAGGTGGGGAGGACAGCAGAGGGGATAATATCTTCCTAAGGGCTTGCCTCCAGGGACTATGGCTCCTCCCATCGTCTAAAGCTTCCACCTCCGGGGACCAAGCATCCCAAACGCGAGCCCTTGGAGGTCATTTTCTATTCAGTTCACAAAATCCAGGAGAACCCTTTCGTTTCGCCTGTTCTCGGTTGACTTAAAGGCCACTGATAAGAGAGGTCATGAGAAGGTTTTCTTATTAATATAACTACATGCCTGACAAAAGGCAAACTGAAGCAAATCGGGGCCTTGTTGTTACACTACATGAGGGCTTGCCACAAACGATGTTTTAAAAACACCGCTGCTGAGCTCTGCCGGCGTGGCCACGGCCACCTGTGTCTAACCCATACAGGCCTGTGTCTCATTTTGTCCCAGGAGAAGAGCTGCTCTGCGAGCCCCGCCCCACTCCCACTCCATAGTCACAGGCCCCTTAAAGCCTTGCCTGCTCGTGCTGCAAACACTCAGGTCTCCCTCCTTTCTTCGACTTCTGAGCTCCAGCAGCACCAGTCATCCATTTAATAACTGAGTGAACTGGGACTTGGGGGTCGTCTTGGTTAGGGTCTCTATTGCTGTGATGAAACACCACTACCAGAAAGCAAGTTGGGGAAGAAAGGGTTTATTTGGCTCATATTTCTGCATTGCTGTTCATCACCAAAGGAAGTCAGGATGGGAACTCAAGCAGGGCAGGAACCTGGAGGCCAGAGCTGATGCGGAGGCCATGGAGGGGTGCAGCTCGTTGGCTTGCTCCTCATGGCTTGCTCAGCCTGCTTTCTAAATAGAACCCAGGGCCACCCGCCCAGAGATTGTCTCACCCACACTGATAACTAATTGAGAAAAAGCTTCACAGCAGGATCTCATGGAGGCATTTCCTCATCTGAGGCTTATCTGACCAGACTCTAGCTTGTGTCAAGCTGATACACAAAACCTGCCAGGACAGAGGCATAAGGTCCTTCGAGCCTGAAGCCTTAGAAATGAACCCACTTAGCAAAGGCATCGGGTCTCCGGGACATTTCCTGTTGCATTAAAGATGATTGCAACTGTTGCCCTTCAGATCGAGTCTTAAAGGGTCTCTCCAGCCCTGGCTGCCCTCGTTTTATCTTAGAAAGGCGTGCTGACCACCCCCTAGGTCTGGGAGTCAGCGAATCTGGGTTCCAGTCTATTTCTAGCTCACTAGGCAAATCTTGTTTTTAAATGGGGCTTTTAGTTTTCTTGTCTAAGGAAAAGAAGGAGAGGGAGAAAGAGAGAACCAAAGTTGGAAAAGCTTTGGTTTCAATTCTAGTAAGAGTTCTAAGGCCTCTGGAATACAACCTGTCCCCCGCACCCCACCCCCGCAACACACACACACACACACCCACACACACACACACACACACCTCGCTTTTCAACAGAAACTAGCTGGAAACTAGCCCAGTAACTTGAGTCAGCTTTTAAAACATCCGTTAATCGAGGGAATTAATTTTTCAGCATGCGCTCCGGAAGCCAGGCACATGATTTCCAAATAGCATTAAATTCAAACTGATGCAGTAAAGCAGATGGTAGACATGAGGCGTGTCCTCCCCTTGCGCCGGGGGATTCGGGGTGTGTGTGTGATGATGCCTGGCTTCAATCCAATACCAACACCCCTTTTCCCGGGACTCCCGACCCGGCCCACGAAGGTGGCCACAGCGCTCGAACCTTGAGCCAACCCCTCCACTCTCACCCCGCCCAGACTCCGCCCACCGGCCCCGCCTGCTCATCAACGCCCCGGTAGTCATAGTGACCCTGGGCGCTCCAGAGGAGCCCGGAAGCCTCTGAGCAGGCGGCGCCGTTCTCCGCGCCCCAAGAGGCTCTCGTTGCCATGGTGATGACTCGCGCGCTCGGGCCTCGTGTCTTCCGTTTCCACGGGCTGGAGGACAGTCCAGACCCCGCCCCCGACGTCGGGATTCGAGAGCCCCGAGCCAGTCCCGCGAGGCCCACGTTGCTGCGGTGATTCGCTGGGGCCCCGCACGCCGGAACCGGCCTTTGCAGCTTTGGTGAGTCCACTCACCCTCCCCGGCTGAGGGCGCATCCCGGAGGTTGTGGTCCCGAGTCTGTCGTGTCTCCTGCCCTCCTCCTACCGCCAAACCTGCAGTGTGGCCTGCAGGCCTTGGTCCTCCTCACTGAGCGTCCACCCCAGGCCAGGCCCCCCCGCGGTAGCGGGGTCAGATGAGGACAGTAGGCTTGGGGGTCAGAGTGGGCAATGCGAGGACTCTCAGGAAAAGGGGCTGGAACCTAAAGTCGCCATACCACTCAGACTCTGCATCTTAAGAAAGACTGGGAGCAAGGGACCCCTCCCTCCTCTAGCTCCGTTATCTGGGCTGTGAGCCACACCCAGGTTGGTTGGTTGGTTTTTGTTGTTTTGTTTTTTGCATACCTGCCTCATGCCAGGTATGCAAAGAGGGAACCCCTCTTCCCAGGAGTCCGAGCTGCTCCCCCACCACTGTGCTGCCCATTGAATGGCCCCTGCCTAATATTGCTGATAAGGATGGAGGCTCAGGTGTGTTTTCAAAGTGATGGAAAGTAATGACAAAACTCACAGGTGCACTTTTGAGAATTTGTGTGGGATTTCTAATTCTTGTTAAAATAGTTCTTGTTCAAATATAACAATTCTAGTCGTAACTGACTTTGTTAACCTAGAACCAGACAACACTTAGCCCTGTAAAATAAAGTGAGTGTTCTGTTTTTTTGTGTTTGTTTGTTTGTTTGTTTGTTTGTTTGTTTGGAGACATGGTTTCTCTGTGTAGCTGGGCTGTTCTGGACTCGATTTGTAGACCAGTCTGGCCTGGAACTCACAGAGATCCACCTGTCTCTGCCTCCCCGAGTGCTGGGATTACAGGCGAGTGCCGTTCTGCCCAGCTGTTGCCTTGTTTTTGTTGGTTTGGTTTGGGTCTTTTTAAGACCGGTTCTCTCTGTTGCCCAAGGAATCTGGGGCTCACCATCCTCCTGCCTCTGCTTCCCGAGTGCTAAGTATATAGGCCCCTGTCACCACTACAGCTGGTTAGGAGTTTGGTTTTATAGACAGAGAGAAAGGAAGGTAGACATGGTATAAAAAGCAAATTGATTGTTCTAAAAGCTTATAGGATAATTCGTGCTGGCTCAGGTTGACTGGGCCCCTGACCTCGTGCTTTGTTGGGAAACTAGCCCATTCAGAACTCTGTTTGGTCACATGGCACCCAGCATGCACTGTTCTGGTTTGATCTGCTGGGCAGACTGTAACCTCTTCCATATTTTATGTAATGCTCTTTCCCCTCCCCCCCCCCCATTGAGTCTACAGGACACTGGAAGAATGAGGTCCTCTTGGACCCCTTTGGGGCCCCCAGTGAGCCAGGACCGCATCATCACCAGCTTCCCGAAGGTACCATCATTAGAACACTTTTGAGTTTTGTTTGTTCGTTTGTTTGTTTGGGTCTGGATTGCTTCAGCAGAAGGTCTTTGCCATGCCAGACAAACCTGGAATTCACTGTGTATCCCAGGCTAGCCGTAAAGCTGCAGTCTCCCTGCTGCAGCCTCTTGAGTGCTGGGATAGCAGGAACGTGCCCCGGTTCCCAGCCCTTTCTGTCTTCATTGCTGATGTGACATTTCAGCCATCCAGCTTCGCTAACATGCTGTCACCCCCGGAAGTCAAGCAAGGGAATCCCAGAGGCTGGTTCTATTTCTGAGAGGACGAAAGACTGGGTGTTGAGTTCCTCTAAAGCAGGCCAGTAGGGAAGGCAGAGGTTATAAGCCACGTAGTCCTCGGTGGGAGCCTTGATGCCGTCATAGCTGGGACCATAGCTGGGACCACAGGCGAGTCACCCAAGCCCTGGGAGCTGATGGCGCCTCTGGGCACCAGCTCATGATAAGTGTAAGCTCCCAAGGCCATGACATTCCTTGCTGTTATTATTATCAGCTCTCCAGAGGGTGGGAATGTAACGTTGTGGAAAAACATTTGCCCGGTAGGTACAAAACCGTGAATTTTATTCCTAGCACTGTGAGGAAGGGGTTTGGGGGAATGGGCCGATGACACAAATGAAAGAGAATGCACAGGTGTAAGGCCACACACCTGTAGTCCCAGCACTTGGGAATCAGAGACAGGAGGATTGTGAATTTGGCCTCAGCCTGGACTATGTAACAAAAGCCATCTTTTTTTTTTTTTTTTAATGGTGTTCTAATTTCTCGTCCCCAAATCCACGCTTTCTCCATTGCCATTCTGCCTTCCTTTTTTGCTGAAACCTCCAAATCTGTACCACAGTCTAACATTAACTGCGGTGGGAAGTGCCAGATAACCTTTATTGGGGGGGGGGGACAGTGGGACAGTATTTGCCCATATTACACACGGCTTTGCCCAGTTAGGTAGCCATCCCACTTCCATTGGAAAGGGTGTGAAAGGCCACTGTGGCAGTTAGCATGAGCAGAAAGTCCGATCCAATACCAGCATCTCCAGGGAGGCTGGTGTGGATGCTGGCCCTCAGTACAGACTGGAGGGTTAGAGGGAGGAGGCAGCTCTTCCCAAGGCTAAGGAAAGCCAAAGCAAATTGTTATGCAAAGTGCAAAGAATGGAGCATTTTTGCCATCAAGTGTGTGTGGCACAACTCTGTCGGCTATGTAAGGAAAGAGGAAGACTACAGCGTAGCTGTATGCTGGAGCACTTGGTTAAATTCCCAGTATCACCAAAAAGGGGGGAGGGGCGGGAGTAAAGAAACGTATCTTAGTACACGTAGAAAATATGTAATGAAAGCTAATATGTAATGAAAGGTAACGTTAAGATCCTGTTGTCTATTCTATAGCCACCACCAAATGAAAAATTAATTTTCTCCAAGGGCGCCTCACTGGGGAAACAAACCACTTTAAAATATATATATATATATATATATACTAATATTTATATATATATATATATATATATATATATTTTTTTTTTTTTTTTTCATTTATTACAATTTATTCAATTTGTATACTGGCTGTGACCCCCTCCCTCGTCTCCTCCCAATCCCACCCTCCCTCCCTCTTCTCCCCCTATGCCCCTCCCCTAATCCACTGATAGGGAGGTCCTCCTCCCCTTCCCTCTGACCTTAGCCTATCAGGTCTCATCAGGACTGGCTGCATTGTCTTCCTCTGTGGCCTGGTAAGGTTGTTCCCGCAGGGGGAGGTGATCCGAGAGCCTGTCACTGAATTCAAGCCAGAGAAAGGCCCTGCTCCCCTTTCTAGGGAACCCACTTGGAGACTGAGTCTATGAACTACATCTGAGCCAGGGTTTTAGGTCCTCTCCATGCATTGTCCTTGGTTGGGGTATCAGTCTCTACAGGGCACCCAGGGATCAGTTTTCTTGACTCTGTTGGTCTCCTCTTGGAGCTCCTGTCCCCTCCAGGTCTTTCTGTCTCTCCCTGCTTTCATAAGATTCCCTGCACTTTACCTAAAGTTTGGCTATGAGTGTCAGCTTCTGCTTCGATACCTTGATCAGTAGAGTCTTTCAGAGGCTGCCTGTGGTAGGCTCCTGTCTTCTGCTTCCAATGTCTATCACATTTGACCTTCTGAATGAGGATTGAGCATATTCCATAGGGTCTTCCTTGTTTAGCTTCTTTAGGACTATAGATTTTAGTATGTTTATCCTATGTTATATGGCTAATATCCACTTATGAATGAGTATAAACCATGTATGTCTTTTTGATTCTGGGTTACCTCACTCAGGATGATCATTTTTAGAAAAGTTCCTGCCATTTGCCTGCAAATTTCATGATTTCCTTGTTTTTAATTGCTGAATAGTATTCCATTGTGTAGACATACCGCAATTTCTGTACCCATTCCTCAGTTGAGGGACATCTGGGTTGTTTCCAGCTTCTGCCTATTACAAATAAAGCTGCTACAAACATGGTTGAGCAAATGTCCTTATTGTGTACTTGAGCATCTTTTGGATATATGCCTAGGAGTGATATAGTTGGATCTTGAGGTAGCACTATCCCTAATTGTCTGAGAAAGCGCCAGATTGATTTCCAGAGTGGTTGTACAAGTTTACATTCCTACCAGCAGTGGAAGAGGGTTCCCCTTTCTCCACAACCTCTCCAGCATGTGTTGTCACTTGAGTTTTTTATCTTAGCCATTCTGATGGGTATAAGGTGAAATCTCAGGGTCGTTGTTTTGCATTTCCCTGATGACTGAGGACGTTGAACATTTCTTTAAGTGTTTCTCTGCCATTCGATATTCCTCTATTGAGAATTCTCTGTTTAGCTCTGTACCCCATTTTTTAATTGGATTACTTGGTTGAAACAAACCATTCTTAAAAGTAAGCCTAATGCCTAGCAGTAGATGGCCAACAGAAAACTAATTGGGTGTCATCTTTGGAGGTTCTTTGTCTCATACTGTTGTCGGAGCTTTTTTTTTTTTCTTTTTTTTTTTTTTCCTTCTAGCTTACAGTGTTTTGCCTATGTGTTAGGGCTTCCTGTTTGGGGTTTTATGGGATTTCTGTGTATGCGAACATATGTGTCTCTGATTCTATATGCTTTTTCTTCAGCTCTTTCTTATTTGGTTTTTTTGTCATACTCTTATTTGTTTGGGGTTTGTTTGGGTAGTTTGGCTTGGTTTGGTTTTGAGACAGGGTTTCTCTGTATAGTGCTATCTTTCCTAGAACTCACTCTGTAGACCAGGCTGGCCTTGAACTCAGATATCCATCTCTCTCCTTCTGCCTCCAGAGTGCTGGAATTAAAGGTGAGTGCTACCACCACCTGGCTGATTTCTTTGTCTTTGATTTATTTTATTTTATTATTATTCCTTAAATGCCTGTTTGATCCATAAGGAAAAGTTATGGATCCAGATGGGAGGGAACTAGCATTTGTAGAGGAAGGGGAAGCCGTGACAGAATGTATTGTATGAAAAAAAAAAACAAAACAAGACCCTCCAGTCCATTGCTGCCTCCGTGTGGCTTGGACAGGTGTGAGGGAAGAAATTTTGTGTCTTTTGGATTCTGTGCCAAAGCTGGTAAAGAGGAAGGAGGTGCCTATAGGCTCTTGGTGTTCCCATCTGCAGCTATTGCTTCTTCCCCTCTAACTTCCCTCTTCAAACACTGACAGAGAAAGCCTTTGTGCCCCAGATATTGGAGAATTCCCTGGGTTTTTTATGGTGAGCTTGGGTCATTGCTTTCCCAATGGAGTGTGACCATGGCAACCAGGGGTGGTGCAGCCTGGTGTTTCATGAGCCTAAGAGAAAGGAAATAATCAGGAAAAAAAAAAAACAGGCCCCATCTCATGGGACAAAAGACACTATTCACAGAGTAGGACATTGTGGCTCAGAGCGATGGGGAAAACTGCTTGACAGCTGCGCAGCTGGGAGTGGAAAGCTAAGTTTTGACCCCGCTGCCCTTGCCTCCAGCCCTAGGGAGTCTGCCCAGGGAACTGTCCTGTTTTCACAGAAGATGGGATTCCCTCACAGTCCCTACAGCAGCCAGGACCACAGGCTACAGCTGGCCATGTCTGTCCTGCCCCCGGGGCCAGTCCAGGCCTGAGCGCTTACTGACCAGGTCAGGACGGGTCTCTGTGGTGCCTCCTGAGGCAAGGTGTTCTCTTTATCCTGTTTCCCTGAGAAAAGGACTCACGCCTCCTCCCCCACAGCCTGTGGCATTACCAGGAAGGAGGAATGCTAATGAGACCGCTAGCATCGGGAGAGAGGAGGGCTGGGAAGTGGTTGTCACCACTCCAGTGCCCAGTTTGTGCTACCAAGACGCCGCTTCGTAGGGCAGTCCGCCTGTTTGTCTGTATGTCCATCTGTCTTTCTGCAGTGCTACACGCCTGAGGCCTGCCTGCAGCTCAAGGAGCACTTCCACAGCCAGGTTGACACAGCCTGCCAGCACAGGAACACGGGCACTGCTGGGTAAGCCCACGGGGCAAGGGCGTGGAAGATAGCAGCCCAACTGCACGCGTGAATGAAAGCCTGAGCAAATCAAACACAGGGACGGAACCTCTGCAATCTACTATCAGGATTTTGAATCTAACTTTGCTGTATGAACAATATCCGTGTTTCTCAGAATGCCACACAGGTGCCTTTTCAGCCGAGTGAGATTTCAGTGCAGGTCCATTTGCTGTGTCTAACTCTCCTCCCTTCAGGTTTCTGTTTGTCAGATCCTCTGGGCTTCTGTGACCACCTGCTGTCCCTGCCCCTGCCCTGGCCTGGGTAGACTACCTAGTGCCCTTCTTCTGTGCTCTAGAGCTCCAGAATCATGGCATAGAACTATAGGGTTTTCTGTCTTTCTTCACCAGACCTGAGTCTGGCTGTGTCTGCCCTGTTTCCGCCTCAGTTTCTGCCTCAGCAGCAACTGTTCACTGTCAGAGGGGATTTTCCAGTACTCCTTCCTCCTTCTAACAAATACGTACAGGCCCGTTCTCCCCTTTCCTCCAGAGCCTCTGAGTTCACAGAGGTTGTGTAGATGGAGTCAGATCACAAGAGAACCCATCTCAGAGGTCCCTAGGGCGACACAAAGGGAAACAGATCTCAGGTCAGAACTGTGGTTGGTAGCTTGAGGGATAAAAGGTATGGGCTTCCCCTGGAGATTAGTTTTTCCTACTCAGATCTTCACGCAAATTACCTACCTGACCCTACACAATGCAACCAGAGGTAAGGACAGTGAGGCACTGACAGTCCCTACTGTGCAATCCTAGTGGCACCTGGACTCCTTTCTCTCAGAAATGGAATCAGGGCTGGTCTATTCCAAATGAGAAGGCTGCCTGGGAGCAGGACAGCCACAGCCCAGCTCTGGCTGGTGTGGAAAGATAAACTATGGACCCAATCATCAACCAACATACATGCCCTCAGAGGAAGTGTGCTAAATGTTTCCCAAGATGGTCAGTTTAAGCACTGAGGTCTTTTGGGAAGAACTGCAGAAATGCTTCTTTTAATTGTATTAATTTGGTGGTGGTGTGGTGTGGTGTGGTGTGGTGTGGTGTGGTGTGGTGTGGTGTGGTGTGGTGTGGTGTGGTGTGGTGTGGCAGGGACTATGACACAGCATGCCTGCAGATGTCAGGAAGCAACTTGCAAGAATCAGGCCTCCCCTTCCCCCAAATAGGTCTTGGAGGTTAAAGTCAGGTCCTCAGGCTTGGCAGCAAACGCCTTTACCCACTGGGCCATCTCCCCAGCCCAGAAGCTCTTAAAAGTCTTAACAGTCAAAGAGAGGCTACCACCAAGGCTCAGGTGTATCCGTACAGAGGGAAGGGAGTAGTTGCTCCTGGTGAGCAGTGTCTAAAGGAGCCCGGGAATCACAGAGCCAATCTACCGCTCAAACACAGCCCAGGTACATAGACCCGGATTCTGTCTGGAGTGTGCCCTTTGGCCCACCTCATCCCTGCAGGCACCGCCATACCTGCTTTGCAGCCGACCCCATTGGGGTGTGTGGAGGCCAGGATGCAGGGCTCCCAGCCCATGCCCTGCCCATGGGGTCCTTGTCCACACCTTTGGTGCACCTCTCCCTAACCTCCCCCCGCCACGCAGTTTTGATTCATCTGATGTTGGTTTTCGCAGTCCTTCCCATGCTTTCCTCTCTGCCCCCAAGTTTATGGCTCTGCCTCTCCTCATGCCCATTGCTTATTCTCAGGACAGACAGTGACTTTGGCCTAGTGGGGTCCAGGGTGTAGCCATTGGGGTGGCAGAGTTCCCAGGACAAATGAAAGTTCTCCCGCACCCCAAGACTGCAGAGTGACTTATCCGGGTAGGTCTTCCTGCATCTAGAGTTGACGTGTGACTCACTGGGATGGTACAGGAAGGAGAGGCTTGGATATGCTGAAGACACTCCTGATACCATCCTCCAGGGTGATATGGACATGTCTCCTCCAGGCTCAAGCTCTCCAAGGTGGTGGTGGTTGGTGATCTCTATGTTGGGAAGACTAGCCTCATTCACAGGTAGGTCCTGACACACACACACACACACACACACACACACACACACACACACACAC